CTCTCTCTCTCTCTCTCTCTCTCTCTTGCCTTCTTTCCTTCTTTCCTTCTTTCCTTCTTACTAGTTTATCTCCTCTGCAATTTTGCTCTCTTTTTTTTTGTGGGTTGCAGTGTGGGCTTGCATGTGGAGTGGTTTAGCCGCGCGAGTCAATGCCACGGTTCGATGGAAATTAAATTGCTGTCCGAGGGCATCGCCACTTTGCACTCCCTTGGGAAAGTGACAGATAAGGATGGCAGTTCACAGGGAATTGAATGAGTCAACTTGTTCAATTATTTTAGAGATTTATCTCCAATTACTAAATTTGGTGGTTCTGTTTTTTGTGTTCATTATTTTTGGAATTAATTATATATGGGACATCCCATGTCAACTCAGCCACCCTGAATTTTTTTGGTTCTCAGAATCCTGAATTGACATGCTCACAGTCAGGTACTACGTAAGTACATGCTTTCCGTAAATTTTTGTTCCTTCAACATCAATTGTTTGTCTACAAGATGCGTCAAAAGCTCAAATTTTTGAATAATCATATCTCGTGAACTAATTGACGGATTTTAATGAATAAAAAACGATTCCTTTCGTTTTTTCATCTACTATCCGAAAAAAATACGCCAGTACTGTGAGGACGAGTAACTATCTTTTTTCAGAGGTTTTAATTTTTCAAATTCCACTGTTAATTGATTCTGTTTTTTCGTGATAAATAATAATAATCCCCAATTTTCCCGGGACATTTTGAATTGTGACATCGATATGGAGATTATAAAAAACTTTTTTTTGCATAAAAATTTTTTTTTTATAATCTCATGTCATCGATGTCATTTTTAATAAAATTTTTTTATCCAAAAAAATTTTTTTTTTCGACATTAACGGCTATAATTAGTAAAATCACATTGTCATTTCATCACTTATACTCGTATGGTAAATCATCCACATAACCAATGATATAACTACGTTGCAGGCCTAAAAATAGGAGAAGCATAATTGTTTTAACATTATTTTGATTAATGAACATTGAGTTTGGGGAAGAATGCTATCCAAAACCCATAAATTTTTTCATCAGATCCCTACTCTGTTAGAGAAAAAAATGAAATTTCAGGTTTCACTGAAAATTCAGTGAAATTCCAGAATTTTAACTACCACAAACACGAAAATTCCTGAATTTATTGGAAATTTCAATGAATTTTTTCTGAAAACTGAAATTTCATGATTTTTTACCCCTAAATCGCATTTAGTGTTGATGTCCTGAAAATTCATGTATGTATTTACCGAAATTTCCTGATTTGTCACTCATTTTCAGGGGAAAATGCAATTGAAATTCATAGTTTATAGAAATTCCTTTAAATTTCCGTAGAAATTAAATTTGCTAAAAATTTCGAGAAAGTACACCGGAAATTTCATATAGAAATTTTTAATAGTGCTGCTAGCGATGTTAATACTTAAATACCGATGTTGATAAATTCTTAAGTGGTTATGAAGATGCCATAGAGATCGAAAGCCTGCAATAGCTAAGTCAATAGGGCGAAGAACTCGCAATTCGTTCAGTCGGGTTCGAATCCCACGTGTGTCCAATTTTTCCACTGTATCATTGACTCAGCCAGTGTCAACTCTCGCCCTTAATGAGCGGAAAGAAATGAAAATTAATACGACACGCAGCCAGGAAAATTAAACGTTGTCTGATTGTTCTTGGAAGAAGACCTTGTATTTGTCGTACACTTTTAATCGGATTGCGATGTTGCATAAATTATCAATACAATATAATTCGCTGTCATGGGGGTTGCAAGGGGGAGGAGGAGGTAAGTGGTCTGAAAAGCTACAGCTTTCGTGGAATCGTGTTTCTATACAACCTCCAAGGGTTACAATGAGTACGAATCTAATTAGTTGTCCTGAAACTCTTGCTCCTGCAACATCATCCCTCATTCTCTGTTAAGTGTGTTAAATTTCCTGTAGAAATTTAACACACTGAATTTTCCTCTTGAATTAACTGAATCGTTATTCTCCTTCAGTTGTTCGTCAATTTGGATCGAGGTATGTAATCTGTCTGTCTGTAATGTGCCAGTGGAGAAGTTATAAAATAGGTGGAGTTCATTTTTATTTTTCAATGGATAATAAATTATCATAGTCATGAGTACATTCATGAAAGAATGTGTTTATATAGTCGTTGTTGTGGACTTGTTGAACGCTAAATATAGAGTCACCACATATTCTTCTGAAATCACTCCCTCTTGAGATAAATGGGCCATTTATGGGAATGTCGGAATAGATTCAAAGTCTTCATTACTAATTCCATATTGATAGCTTCATTAATCTAATATTAATCTATCCATAGGACTGATCAACTCATTTTTTTTCTTAAGATGCCTCATGCCGAGATATGTGCTAGTCCAATGCGCGCCCCTGGAGAGAGAGGTCACGTTGGAAAAGGTCTACGTGTAATTTCGGAATTGTTACGGAAAAAATTTCCATCCTTGCCGG